TATCATTATCTGGATGGTTGAGATCATAAATAATCATAAATCAAAATCATCATAACAAAACATTTGGTAGTTCAGTGACTCAGTTGGTAGAGGTGTTGTTTCTCAGTTGCTGGATCAAATCACAGCCTGGAACCTTTTTGTGTGGTGTTTACATGTTCTCCCTCTGCATGCATGGGTTTGCTCCCAGTATTCCAGTTTTCTCTCACAGACCAACCTTAGCTTCACAGGTACACACTGTACATCTCAAATAAATGCTTTGCAAATGTAATTATTTTGAACAAAATCATGTTCAAGTCGGAGTATTTTCAATAGCCTTTGAAATTGGGCCAGTCTGTTGGGAACTCCCGGGCCACTTTTCTCCCCAGTCCACCCCTGCCAGGAGGTGCGAGCTGATGGACTTTTGTTTTTTGTCCCGAGTCCAGTTTAACACTGCAGTCAGTTTAACGAGCTGCTGACCCACATTGGTGCTGATATCTCCTGCCAGAACACCAATTGCAGATGGTTGATTTCAGCTAAAGAGCTCCTGTCTGTCTGTTTCGGTTTCAGGAAATCGTCACGTGGAAAAATTATTCTCTCTGATTGGTTGCTGCTGCGCGTCGAGCAGCGAAAGTTCAGTTTTTTAAACTCGAGCAGCGGCTGCTTTGGAAGCGCCGCATACACGGAAAACACTCTGCTGCATTCTACCGCTACCTTGCGCGCTGCTCTAAACTAGCAAAATGTGCCYCGCTGCTCCTAGATYCGTGTCCACCYTAGACTTTGCATGCAAACTGGCTGCTTTGGCTTCTCAAAATGCATTTGGTGTGTGCCCGGCTTTAACAGAGGAGAAGCAACTGAYAGGTGTGTAAGACTACAACCCTGGGTTGCCAATAATTTCAGTGGTCAACAAAATTATCCAGATTCCTAGAAAGGAGAGTCGCTCCAGCCAAAGTGGGATGGAGACCAGCTTTCCGCGTCAGACCTGGTTTTCCCCAAAAATAACTCCAATTGTCTATGTAGCCCACATTGTTTTCAGAACACCACCTGGACACCCAGCGGTGGAAGGATGACATGCGACTAAACATGTTGCTGGTCAGATTGGGGAGGGGACCAGAGAAAGCTACCAGAGAAAACTATAGAGTCCGACAGTCTTTGCAAATTTACACACTGAAGCAACATTAATTTTAGGGACCTCCAACTGTGTGTCATTAACGCCAACATGAATAGAAATCTTATGGTACTTAGCATTGGCCTTAGTCAGCAGTTTCAGGTAGGATTCAATGTCGCCCACTGTGGTCCCCAGAATGTGCTTGATTGACTATGGTCACTGGAGTCCCTAGGGCCACGTTTCGGACTATGAKGCTGCCGATCACCAAGGTCTGTTTCTCAGTGGGTGTGTCGCTGAGTGAGGAAAATTCATTTGAAACGTCATTGAAACAGAAAGTTCATTGGTGAACTTTCTGTTGCAATATTTTTTTATTTTATTTTTATCATCTCATCCCTGGGTTTCTGCTTCTCCTGTGCGACAAATGTTCTTTAAATGACACAAGCAGTTGGTTCAAAACAGTTTCTGCCACTTTAACCTGATCTTTGACTGATTCTTCCACAGGTCCGAGCCAGTTCCATTGCTCAGGATGCTGACCAGAATTATGACACCGCCAGTAACAGTGCCATCCTGCATCTGGACTCTGGAGATGAGATTTATGTCAAATTGGATGGAGGGAAAGCTCACGGTGGTAACAACAACAAATACAGCACGTTCTCTGGGTTTCTGTTGTACCCTGACTGATATGGAACATGGGTCAGGACTAGTCCAGTTTATTACAGAGGTATTTTTTTTCCTGATGGCAGACTAGCCAATCAGGTTTTTTGTTTTTCCAGTGTCTTGACCACTGTAATCCAACAGGTTTATTTTGATATTAATTATATTGGTTCAATTTACTGTTCCTATTGACTCCCCCACCCACACACCGACCACACACACACAGACATTACACGGAGGTACCCTACGGACTGGTGCTGCCTTTTGGAGCTGATATTTCAGTGTGCCACCATTTTGGATGGGTCCCTCGTGCACTTTCTTTGTACTGAGGAAGATCTTRACCCAACTAAACTATTCACAACTCCTCGATTTTTTTCTCATGATTTGGTTTGTTACAAATGACAGAAATGTAGTTATGAGACAGCACAGGGGTGCAATGTGTATATGGGCAGTGGTCGAAGACTGGGACCCTGGTGGTCCAACCCTCAGCTACAGAAGCTGACTCTAGGGATGTGGAATGTCACTACTCTGGTGAGAAAGGAGCCTGAGCTGGTGTGTGAGGTTGAGAGAGAAGGMGGTCTCTGCATAACGTGTTGTCCTGTGGGCGGAGACGGCCCAAGAGACGTGATTGGRGGAGGTCTTGATGTGGACGGAGACAGTCCAAGAAACGTGATTGGCGTAGGTCTCGATGTGGGTGGAYATGGCCCAAGAGACGTGATTGGTCAGAGTGATGYTGGGGTTTGAGGAGGDTGGAGGCAGCAGGGAGTAGCTTAGTCAAGTCGGGCAGGAAGCAGCGTTTTTTTAAGATTAATTTTAGTCATAACTTGAGAAAGGAAAGTGCTAGCTGCACGAAATTTGAACGTCTTAGATGTGAAGGGATGTGTAACGATATGGCTCAATCAAAACATCCCTAACCAGCCTGTAAAAAAATATTGATTTTTAGCTATCTTTTTACAGGCTGTTTAGAGGTGTTTTGACCAAGATTTATTGTTACACATCCCCACCGTCACTCTGACCAATCACATCTCTTGGGCCGTCTCCCCCCACATCAAGACCTCCGCCAATCACGTCTCTTGGGCTGTCTCTGCCCACATCAAGATCTTCGCCAATCATGAGTAGGGCCGTCTCCGCCCACATTAAGACCTCCGCTATCACGATTTGTGCCGTCTCCACCCACAGGACAACATGTTCTGCAGAAACCCTTACTTGAGTTGAGAGGTTACGACTAGATATATTTGGACTCACCTTGAAACACTGCTCTGGCTCTGGAACCAGTCTCCTTGAAAGGGGTTGGACACTCTTTCACTCTGGAGTTCCCCATGCTGAGAGGTGTTGAGCAGGAGTGAGCATACTTATTGCCCTCCATCTTGGTGCCTGTATGTTGGGGTGAATGAGTGGGCACTTGCCTCCTTCTGACTACATGTGGGGGGATTGGTCCTGACTYTTTGTGCGTATGTGCCTAACAGCAGTTCAGATTACCCACCCTTTTTGGAGTCCATGGAAGGGGTGCTGGAGAGCGCTCTTGACGGGGACTCCCTCATCTTGCTGAGGGACTTCAACGCTCATGTGGATAATGACAATGAGACCTGAAGGTGCATGGTTAGGAACCCCCGCCACCCACCCCCCCCCGATCTGAATCCGAGCGGTGTTTTGTTATTGGACTTCTGTGCTCGTCATGGATTGTCCATAACGAACACCATGTTCATACATAAGGATGTCCAAATCTGCTCTTGGCAACACAACACCCTAGGCCGCAGTTCAATGATCGACTTTGTTGTCGTTTCAACTGACCTGCGGCCATAWGTCTTGAACACTCGGGTGGAGAGAGGGGTGGACTGTCAACTGACCACTACATTGAGGAACATCCTGACCTAACATCCTGGTTGATTTGTTTTTTGTGATTTGTTGGTTGTTTTGTTCATTCAATTATATTTTTGTGATCATYTTTTGTTGAATTTTGTAACTAATTAATGCTTATGACTTCATAAGTATTCATATGATCACACACACACATTTTGGTTAAACACACACACACATTGCTACATGCGCAAACTACTAAATTCATATACACAAATCTACACAACACATTCTGGGTTTTCAAGTGATAAAGTTWTTAAAGCTGGTTTAACTGACTTTAGAAATAAAACTATTAACCTGTCTTTGTGATTGACTGTTTAAATTTGAGCTAATTACATGTCAAGAACAAAAACTGTAATCCATTCTAATCAATTATTTGTGATATTTCTTTTAATTTGGTTTAAAATAAAAACATCTGACACATTTGTGCAAATGATAAAACTTAAATAATGTCTCTTGTCCCCTTCTGTGATGTTTTGAGTGCTTTTCTCATGATTGAATCTATYGCAGAACTAGGGAGGTAAACAGTAAGTTCACCACCAACACTGTTTATGGTGGAGATGGTGCACTGCTGACCTCAACTCGGGATGTTGTGGGTCGGTGGGCAGAATACTTAGACCTCTTTAATCCTGCCAGCATTTCTTCCCATGAGGAAGCAGAGCCTGAGACCCTGGGTTGGACTCTCCAATCTCTGGTGCTGAAGTCACCAAGGTGGTTAAAAAGCTTCTTGGTGGCAAAGCCCTGGGGGTGGATGAGACTCGCCCGGAGTTCCTTAGTATGGGCATAAACTTTAGTCATTAAGCTTTAGTACTTGTAATTCAGACTTCGTATTTGTAGATTATGATTTGTAAGTTTTGAATATGTAAATAGGAATGTGTGTGTGTTTGTAAAATAGATTTGTATCTTTAAAAATAAAATTTGTATCTGTAAAAATAATATTTGTATTTGTAAAAATAAAATCTGTGTATGTAAAAACAAGATTTGTATCTGTAAAAAATATTTACACAAGTTACAATATTTTTTGTTAAGGTCTGTTTACAGGTACAAAGCAAAAAACTAAGTGTAAATCTCTCTGCTCAAGTTCAAAACTTCCATYTGAGTTTCAGTTTACAAGTACGAATTCTGACCCTGTTTTTCTGCCTCCAGCTGACTGGTCAATGTCTTGTCAATCATAGATTTAATGATCCAATCAGAGAACATATGGGTTTGGCTGTCGTGCCTGCACATTGCTGTGTCTGCACGGATATACATCTGTGTTGTATGTATTGCTATTGGATCATTTCAGTCATGTGACCCCCACRACAGCCGTCCAGAGAAACTCTGTTCATTTTTCTGTTTTAGTCAAGACTACTTTGTTCGCCCATCCATGGAAGGAAAAACAAAAATATAAGGAATAATAGAWATGATGTGAACTTCTTCCACCTGGCACCTTTTTTTAAACTTCTCTGCACGTGGTAGCGTGCACAGCTACAGTGCATGTGTACAACCAGGAAGTCTTCATCATTAAGGTCAAGGTAAGAACCACGTAGTTAGTGGAAAGACATGGAAACCTAATGTTTTGACTTGGATGTTTACAGAAATATTAATTTATCACATTAATGTATTGTTGACTGAATAATGAAGCAGTACTCAGATTAATATGATGGTAAAATAAACACATCAGAACATTTAAAGACAGCAAAATTAAAGTTTGGGTCTGATACAGAAATACTGTAAAATAGTTAATGTTTATTACATCATGTCCTACTACAGAAATATATTTATGCTACAAAACTTGCTCAAAAACATATCAGCTGAAAATTAATTCTGATACTCTTTCTGTGGCAGTCTGTCATTCAGACACCACCCTCCCTGATGGATGTTGGCTGATTGCCAACAGCTTTAGCTCGTCTCCCTCTTCATCATCACTGGGTTTGAGTCGTCTGATCTTTGTTGGATCACATAATCTGTTTGTTATGTTTCCAGAGAATGGTTTCCCTGTTTGAAGGTTACTCACCTTTGTGCTTTACTTGTCTCCAGTATCTCCTGTTTCTCTGAGGTTCCTCTCGTGGGTCAGCACCACTAAAGAGACACTCACCTGAATTCTGGTTTCCTGCTCCCTCATCCTCAAGATCTGCTACTGTAAATAAAGACAATCACCTGGATCCTCACCTTCCTGTGAACCTGGCCCCCCACCTGCTACTCTGCCTCTGTCCAGCTCACATCTCCAGCCAAAACTGCTTCACTGTAACCTGCTTCGAAACGCTCCTCTCAGTCATCGTCAGTCATCACCCAGACCAGGGGGTCAGATTTATACAAGATTGCGTGGAAACCATACTAAAAGTGAACGTACAGCCAAAAGGCAGAAATGGCGTACACCAAAAAAAATTCAGATTTATAAAATCGTGCGTACGCATGTTTCTGTGCATCTTACCTTTAT